CCTGCTGACCTCCGTACAGCAGCTGAGTGGGTACACGCACACGGCCACAGCCATCAGGATGGTCACGTAAGTCCTGACTCCTCCCAGGTCTTCCCCCAAAGCATCTGGGTCTTGCTTTGGGCCGCATCTGTCTCCAAGAGGAAGGGAGAGATGGGTACTGGAGTTCAGCCTGTGGTCTCCTCACCAAGCCGGGGGCCTCTGGGTGGGACGGGGGCATCACAGAGGAAGCGGCATCTCCTTGTTCTCACAAAGGCATCAGAGGCTAAGCAGCAGCTCTGTTCACTGGCCTCTGGACCCTCATCTTCTCTGACAGAGAACAGCTGTTCAGTGCCTTATATGGGGCCCGAAAAGATGCCTCCAAAATCCTCATCGTCATCACCGATGGGCAGAAAAAACAGGACCCTCTGGATTACAAGGATGTCATTCCCAGTGCTGAGGCTGCTGGCATCATCCGCTATGCAATTGGGGTAGGATGTGGGGATGCCCTCCCACTGCTTCCTCCCCTCTCGTCCTCTTAAGCCACCTTCCCTTTCAAGGACAGAAACCCCAGCTCCCTCAGCTTCTACGTCAGGATGAAAACTCTGTTTCAGCCTGGGGTATCCTCCTCCTTTCCCTAAGCTCCTTGATGAGGCTGTCTGGGCCTCATTTTTCTTGCCTGTACACTGGGTGTAATAATATTAACCTTGCAGGGTTATATTGGAGGATCCCAGTACCCAGCAGGCATATTATAGTTATGATTATTTTCACTGAATTGGTCTTTGCTGGGGACAGGTGGGATTGGCTTTTCAAAATATACATTCCTGGCAAGAATTAAAGGACATCGCATCGAAGCCCTCCCATGAACATATATTTAAAGTGGAGAACTTTGATGCTTTGAGAGACATTCAAAACCAACTGAAAGAGAAGATCTTTGCCATTGAGGGTAAGTCAGAGATGGAACTACTCACTTCAGAAGGCCTCACCCATAAATGTTTTTCCTTCTAGAACCTGGACCCCTATGTCATGGGCCAGTCTTTCCCTTTGGGTATTAGTCTCCAATGAGATCCTCTCTTAAAGCTGAGATCCTTCTTGAACCTGGCAACCCTATGAATCCTAGGTGTCATGCCTTTCCCCAGGTACGCAGACTATAAGCAGCAGTTCCTTCGAACTGGAGATGTCCCAGGAGGGCTTCAGTGCTGTGTTCATGCCTGTGAGTGGGGCCCCTTTCAGGCCACTGATGTAGGGTGAGGCAGAGATGGGAGGAGGGAAGGCAAGAGTGAGTATCAGGCGAGTGGGTGGAACCGTCGGCAGCCATTGCTTCGGAATAGGCTGTCTTCTTCCCACCTGCTCTGGAATCCTTTCCTCCCAGGATGGACCAGTTCTGGGGGCTGTGGGGAGCTTCAGCTGGTCTGGAGGTGCCTTCCTGTACCCCCCAAATAGGAGCCCCACCTTCATCAACATGTCTCAGGAGCACACGGACATGAGAGACTCTTACCTGGGTGAGGCAAGGCTGTGGTCGGAGGGCCGGGCGGGAGACGGGCTGCCTGGGAAGGGCAGGGGCCCGGGAGTGGGGAGTGGAAGCCTCTGTGCTGAGGCCTGGTCCCCTCAGGTTACTCCACAGAGCTGGCCGTTTGGAAGGGGCTACACAGCCTGGTCCTGGGGGCCCCCCGCCATCAGCACACAGGGAAGGTTGTCATCTTCACGCAGGTGTCCGGGCAATGGAGGCCGAAGGCTGAAGTTACAGGGACCCAGGTTGGGTGTGGAGGAGGGTCTCCAGGGGCAGAGAGGGAGATGAAGGGGGTGCGGGGCCCAGCAGGGTGGCGCCGGTATCTGGGGAGAGGCGGGACCTGGCCCAGCGTGGGTGCAGGGGTAGGCAGGATGACTCCACGCTCTGCCCTCCAGATCGGCTCCTACTTCGGGGCCTCCCTCAGCTCCGTGGACGTGGACAGAGATGGCAGCTCCGACCTGGTCCTCATCGGGGCCCCCCATTACTATGAGCAGAGCCGGGGCGGGCAGGTGTCCGTGTGCCCCTTTCCCTGTGCAGGGGTAGGCAGGATGACTCCACGCTCTGCCCTCCAGATCGGCTCCTACTTCGGGGCCTCCCTCAGCTCCGTGGACGTGGACAGAGATGGCAGCTCCGACCTGGTTCTCATCGGGGCCCCCCATTACTATGAGCGCCGGGGGGGCCTGGTGTCCGTGTGCCCCTTTCCCCTGGGGGGTGAGTGGCTGATGAGACCCGGGCTGGGTGGGGTCTGGGTGTGGAGGGGTCGCCTGGGGTGGGACCTGGCACTGTTTTCGTTCTGCAGAGGGCTAAGTGGCAGTGTGGTGCTGTCCTGCGAGGGGAGCAAGGCCATCCCTGGGCCCGCTTTGGGGCAGCTCTGACGGTGCTGGGGGATGTGAACGGGGACTGGCTGACGGACGTGGCCGTCGGGGCCCCGGGAGAGCAGGAGAACCGGGGTGCTGTCTACCTGTTTCACGGAACCTCGGGACTGGGCATCAGCCCCGCCCACAGCCAGGTGAGGCCCGGTCACTGTTGCTGTTGCCACAGCAACCTCCTCCAGGCTTTTCCCTGTCTTTGACACTGCTGCCTGGAAAATTCTTTTTTCCCTTATTTTATCTCTTTTGTCCAGCACTGAGCACCTAGTAGACAGCAAGCAAAATCTGTGGAATTTGAGAAATGGAAACATTGATCCATTCCCTGCTTTGCATGGTGACTTGATACTTGAGTGGGTTCTCCACCCAAACCTTTTAGTCCCCCAGCAGTTTTACACTGTACACAGGCCAGGCATTAGCAAACGCATTTTAGAGATGAAATCTGGGGCATGGAGAAGATAAGTGCCTGGACTTGTCCAAGGTTTATAGTGGATCAAGAATGATGATGAGGGAGGTTCCAACCTCCTGACTCTAACACAATGCTCCATCTCTTGGAGCCTCCCTTTGCCAGTCAGTTTAGTTCTGGTGGCCTCAGTCTGCCTGTCCACTCACCCCTTCATCTCCCTGCATGCCATGACTTTATTCTCTCCTGCCATCAGTAATCCTGCCAAATGCCCATAGGCAGGAGCCTTTAACCCAAGGGGGCAGGGTTCCCTGAGAAGGGAGGGCTACTCCCCCTGGCAAAAGTTAAGGAAGCCCCAATTAAAAAATAAGGAAAGGATCTGAAAAGACTTTTCTTCAAAGATGATATACAAAGGACGAATACGCACATGAAAAGATGTTCAACATCATTAGTTACCAGTCATCAGGAAATCAAAACCACTTCACATCCACTAGGATGGCTAGAATCAGACAGACAGATGACAAGTGTTGGTGAAGGTGTGGGATATCTGGCACTCTCATCCACTGCTCGTGGGAATGTAAAATGATGCAGCTACTTTGGAAAACAGCTCCTCAAAAGGTTAAACACAGAGTTACTGTATGACCTGGCAGTTCCACCCAAGAGAATTAAAAACATGACCACACCAAAAAAGTTATACGTGATTGTTTATATTAGCATTATTTATAATAAACAAAAGGTGGAAATAACCCAAATGCCCATCAACTGATGGAACAGATAAGTAAAATGTGGTATACCCATACAATGGAATATTATTCAGCCATGAAAGGAATGAAACACTGACACATGCTACAACATGGATGAACCTTGAAAACATTATGCTAAGTGAAAGAAGCCAGACCCAAAGGACCACATATTGTATGATTCTATTTACATGAAAGGTCCAGAATAGGTAAATCCATAAAGATAGAAAGTAGATTAGTGGTTGTCAGGGGCTGGGGTGTAGAGGAAAATGAGGGACATGGGGATGACATGGTGGTGAGATCAGTTCTGCACACAAGGCTGTCTGGCTGTGTTTGTTTTTTACTCCCTCTTCCTTGGTAATTGGTAAATTTCTCTTTCATTTTATTATTACTACCCTCAATGTCTGCCAGTCCCATCAGTGCCCAGAGATTTAAAGGGCATATTCTTAAAGGAACTGGTTGTTATAGGAGCCATGGAAATAGAAGGGGAGGGACCCACAGGGCAAGTGGTCCAGGAGCATAGAATCTGCATATGGATACAGCCCCTCCCCATCCAGATCTGGTCCCACCTTGTCTTCTGAAGAGACAGGGTGGCTACGGAGAGCAAAAAGGGGTCTTGGGCATGAGGTCAGAGAGTCTGATTTCAAGTCTGGAATTGGCCTCTTAAAGGCCCTATGGCCTTGGCACCATCTGCAATGTGGGGGGTAGGACTGGAGCCCTGATACTCATAATAGTATGTTACTGACTAGTGACCATACGTCAGGTGTGGTTCTAAGAACTCCATGAATTAATTCATTTAATTCTCTGAGGTGTTATTATCCCAGCTGAGGGATGAGGAAACAGGCACAGAAAGACTGACTCCTGGCCTAAGGTCCCATGGCTCATAAGCGAAGGAGCCAAAATCAGAACCCAAGACTAACTAGCTGAGTGACTGAGCAAAACTCAGGTCACCAGGCCAGTCTTTCCATCTCCACTTCTTCATTTATGTCCTAGAAATCTTCCCTTGTCTCTAGTCACCATTTTCCCATCCCCACCTCTCTCTTTAGGCACTTCTTGGAGACGTCTTTTTACTGCTCACCACTTCGTTCTGTCTCCCATACCCCCAGCTCCCTGCTCCTCTCGTTCTTCTGTCCAACTTGTTTCCATCACCCTGCAAGCTGACTTGCCTCTCCCTCTCTGGCCAGCGGGTCACAGGCGCCCAGTTCTCCCCCGGCCTCCAGTATTTTGGGCAGTCACTGAGCGGGGGTCAGGACCTCACCATGGATGGACTGATGGACTTGGCTGTAGGGGCCTGGGGGCACGCGCTGCTGCTCAGGTGAGAACAGCCTTCCCCAGACACTCCCCGGGTGGTCCTGGGTCTGCCTGGGACACCAGCCTCCCGACCTGCCCTCCCAGGTTGTCCTCCCAGGACCAAGGGCCTGTCCTCAGCTCAGTGTTCTGCCCGCAGGACCAGACCTGTGCTTAGGGTGTGGGCACACATCCACATCACACCTCCAGAGATCACCAGGTCTGTGTATGAATGCCACCAGCAGCTGGCCTTTGCCCAGTCTCTGGGTGAGGCCATTGTCTGCCTTCGTGTTTCTCAAAGTCCCAAGAACCGGCTGGGTGAGTTATTTCCCCTCTGACCCAGGATGCCCTGACCCTGGGAGTCTCCAAGCCCAGGACTCCTGTCTCCTACCTTGCCCCTTGCCCAGCTGGGAAGTTCCTCACTCTCTCAGCCTTTTCTATCCCCTGCTTTCCCCTACAGCCAACCTCCAAAGCGTTGTGACCTTTGACCTAACCCTTGACCCTGGCCGCCTGAGTCCTCGTGCTGTCTTCGAGGAGACAAGGACTCGGAGTCTGACTCGTGTTCGAGACCTGGGGCTGACACAGCACTGTGAGCCCGTGAGGTTGCTCCTGCCGGTGAGGGGGCCTCAGAGTCCTGGGAATAGAGGCAATTCTGAGGCTGTCAGGGGGCTGGGCAGGGAAAGAACGGGTGTGTTCTGGTCCTCGCTCCGCCCCAGCATGGCACATGGAATGCAGGAGGTACTTGAGGTACTTGACACATGTTGGTGGAGTGAGTGAGTGAATGGATGGATGAGGTTGGCTGCATCTGCCAGAGGCTACACGGCTGGATTTCAGGAAAAAGAGTATGGCTGCTTCAGAGAGCCATGGGGCGATGGGGATGGGATTCTTTTATCCAACTCCTCCTCTGAGACAGGCCCTGTCCTTGTCACTAGGGACCCCACAGTGGACAAAACAATCATGCCCAGGGGGAGCCCTGGGAGAAGATCAAAAGTGATCGGATTCCTAAATAATAGATGTCAGGTAGTGATGAAGGCTATGAAGAGAGATAAATCTGGGAGAGGACAGCGAGGGTGTCAGGGGGTCACCGGGAGCAGTTTGGGGAGACCCTGAGTAGAGTAAGTGAGCCTGTGGGAGGCTGCGGGAAGGATGTTCAAGACCAAGGACAAACACAGCAGAGGTTCTGCACGCAGAATCCTATGGATGAGCATTTATGGGGGGGTGGGTAGGTACCACTGTTACTCCATTTTATGGATGAGGAGACGGGACCCAGCTAGTGGCTGCGACGGGGCATTTCTTAGCCAACTACTCCCTCCAATGTCCATTCGCCAGGCCTGTGTGGAGGACTCGGTGACCCCCATCATCTTGCGTCTCAACTTCTCCCTGGTGGGCAAGCCTGTCTCTGGCTTTGGAAACCTCCAGCCTATGCTGGCAGTGGATGCCCAGAGATATTTCATGACCTCTGTGAGTCCCGGTGCTGGGCTCTTCCAGAGAGGGTGGAGGGTGTGGACTCCAGATCTTGGGGAAAACCCTGCTTTCCCTTCACTCTCAGCTCCCCTTTGAGAAGAACTGTGGTGCCGATCACGTCTGCCAGGACGACCTCGGCATCTCCTTTGGGGTCTCAGGGTGAGTGTCCAGCCCCTCAGACCTCCCCTGGTCCCCCAGCCCCCTTCATGGAACCCGGAACTCCTGCCCCTGGCTCTCCCTAACATCTCTACCCAGTGCTCTGGACCCAGACATCCTGTCCCCATCTCTCCCCTGCTTTCCTACTGTGTTTCATCCCCACACCATTTCCAGCCTCAGTCACAGAATCACCTCCTCCCCTCTACCCTAACACCCAGCTTGAAGACCCTGATTGTGGGGAGTAACCTGGAGCTGAACTTGGAAGTGAGAGTGTGGAATGATGGAGAGGACTCCTATGGAACCACAGTCACCTTCTTCTACCCGCCGGGGCTATCTTATCGACGTGTGGCGGGGGGCCAGGTATTGTCCTCTCTGAGGGAGGAAAGGCTGATGGCGGGGGATCAGCAGAGACTCCTGTGCTGGGCTCAAGGCTCAGGCAGGGCTTCCATTGTTTAACAGCCTCTTGTAAACCAAGAGGGCTGGGCTGATCATGGTTGGGTGGATGTGGTTGTGTTGGCTGGGGCATGCATTGGCTCATTCTGTGTTCAACTCTGGGCTTGCATTTTAAGAATGACCGTCAGGAATGAGTTTCCAGGAGGCTGCTAATGTGAAGAGAGCAAGGACCCCGCTTTACATTTCTTTGTATTCCACATCGTATCAATATTCCTCTTTTAAAGGAAAACATATCTTGGCCTTCAAATACTTTATTTTATTTTATTTTTTTAACATCTTTATTGGAGTATAATTGCTTTACAGTGGTGTGTTTCTGCTTTATAACAAAGTGAATCAGTTATACATATACATACATCCCCATGTCTCCTCCCTCTTGAGTCTCCCTCCCACCCTCCCTATCCCACCCCTCTAGGTGGTCACAAAGCACCGAGCTGATCTCCCTGTGCTATGCGGCTGCTTCCCACTAGCTAGCTATTTTAAAATTTGTAACATATATACAAGTCCATGCCACTCTCTCACTTCGTCCCAGCTTACCCTTCCCGCTCTCTGTGTCCTCAAGTCCATTTTCTACATCTGTGTCTTTATTCCTGTCCTGCCTCTAGGTTCTTCATAACCATTTTTTGTTTTTTTAGATTCCATATATATGTGTTAGCATACAGTATTTGTTTTTCTCTTTCTGACTTACTTCAGTCTGTATGACAGACTCTACGTCCATCCACCTCACTGCAAATAACTCAGTTTTGTTTCTTTTTATGGCTGAGTAATATTCCATTGTATATATGTGCCACATCTTCTTTATCCATTCATCTGTTGATGGACACTTAGGTTGCTTCCATGTCCTGGCTATTGTAAATAGAGCTGCAATGAACATTGTGGTACATGACTCTTTTTGAATTATGGTTTTCTCAGGGTATATGCCCAATAGTGGGATTGCTGGGTCATATGGTAGTTCTATTTTTAGTTTTTAAGGAACCTCCATACTGTTCTCCATAGCGGCTGTATCAATTTACATTCCCACCAACAGTGCAAGAGGGTTCCCTTTTCTCCACACCCTCTCCAGCATTTATTGTTTGTAGATTTTTTGATGATTCGGACTTCAAATACTTTAAAACACTGTTCTAGGGAATTCCCTGGTGGTCCATTGGTTAGGACTCGGTTCTCTCACTGCCGTGGCCTGGGTTCAATCCCTGGTTGGGAAACTAAGATCCCTCAAGCTGTGCAGCGTGGAAAATATAAAATTAAATTAATTAAATTAAATTAAATTAAAAAGTAAGTAAAATAAAATAAAATACTGCTCTGTAGAAGAAGGAGTTGGATTTATTGGTCACTCTAGATCAGAGCTTGGCATACTTTATCTATAAAGGGCTGGATAGTAAATATTTCAGCTTTGTGGACCACAGAGTGTCTTCACATCTTCTCAACTCTGCTGATGTAAGGTGAAAGCAGCCATTGACAATATGTGTATGAATGAGCATGGCTGTGTGCCAATAAAACTTTATTTATAAAAGTTGGAGCTGGGCTGTCATATGGCAATCCCTGTTCTAGAGGACAGAACTAGGACCACAGGGAGTCAAAGAGAAACAGATTTTTAACAAAAATTTTATTATGAAAAATTATGTTAAACATTTACAAAAGAAGAGAGTAGTTCAACAAACCTCCCCCAAAATTATCGCCCAGATTCAACAATGATCAACATTTCACCACATTTACGTCACCTGTTTTTTTTCCCTTTACTCAAATATTTTAAAACCAATCCCAGACATCCTGTCATCACACACCTTCCTATTTCACTGTTATGGACAGTAGGGACATCTTACGTGACCCCATAGCCATTATCACACCCAATGAAATGAATGATTCCTTGGTATTTAGACCGTAATCAAATTTCCTTAATTGTCTCAAAAATATTTTTTAACTGGTTTATTTGAACCAACATCTTAACTAGGTCTGCACATAATGTTTGGTTGGTCTCCCATGTCTCTCTTAAGCTAGTCTTCCCAATGGGAGCATATTTTGATCAATGCATGAAGAAATACACTAGGAACGGCAAACTCCAGCTGTGTGAGGGGTGAACACCCTATCACTGGAGGTACTTCTAGACACATCAGCCAGATGCCATGTGTGGACCTTTGTTGGATATTGCGTTTAAAAATGAACTGTAATGTAACATTTTTGGAGACCATCTAGGAAGACAGAACATGACCTGGATATTAGCTGATCTTAGGGATCAGCTTTTGTTGAGTATGACTTGTTGAGTCTTTTCTTATGTTAAAAAATACCCTTGTCTGTTGGTGATACACACTGAAGTCTTTCAAGATGAAAGTATGTGATTTTAGGAATGTGCTTTAAATTAATCAGGAAAAGAAAAAAAAAGAGTGGAGAACAGCTGAATAAAACAAGAGTAGAAAAATGTTGGTAATTTAAGCTGTGTGATGGGGACTTTGGGTAGATTTACCTAGTCTCTCCACTTTTGAGTATATTTGAAATTTTCATAGTACAACCTTTTAAAAAGAACCATAAATAAAAAGGAAGAAAAGCAATTATACTCCAATAAAGATATTTTTTAAAAAAGGAAGAAATGCTAATAAATCTGGGATTTCTACTTTAGGAAGAAGTTTGACCAGATAGTATTTAAAGATTTTTTTTAAAGAAATATAACCTTAAGGTAGATTCCAGGAAACTGTCAATAGTTTATGGAGTCTTGTTGGAACACTAGCAAATGCTCACCGGCCTTGGTTCATCTGTGCTTCCTTAGAACCAGCTGCAGTCACGTGCCCTGCGCCTGACCTGTGACAGTGCCCCCACCGGGAGCCAGGGCACCCTCAGCACCAGCTGTAGCATCAACCACCTAATCTTCCGTGAGGGGGCCCAGGTGAGCCTTGCTTCTGCACCCCCCACTCCCCTACCCGCCCCCCACATCCTACTCCTCGGTGACCTCCCCCACACCCCATTCCTACCTCTTCCTCAGATCACCTTCAGGGCCACCTTTGACGTCTCCCTCACGGCCATGCTGGGAGGCCGGCTGCTTCTTGCAGCCAATGTGAGCAGGTGAGTTGGGCCAGGCCCAGGGCAGTGCTCCGTCCCACTCAGCCTCCTCCTCTGGGGAACTTGCCAGCTGGGATCCTCCTCCCTTTCCAGTGAGAATAACACCCCCAAGATGAGCAAGACCACCTCCCGGCTGGAGCTCCCGGTGAAGTATGCCGTGTACACCGTGATCAGCAGGTGCCACGCCACGACCTCCAAGGGCTCCTCCTCCATCACTCTGTGGGGCTCGGGGAACTCTCACTCTGCAGCAGCTGAACATCTGTGATATTTAAGTTTTATCACCACCCTCTCAATCGGTAGATGACACTGCTAGCAGCACTTACTAATCAATCATCGAGTGCTTATTGTGGGTTATTGATGATAATAGTAATTGTGATATTATTATCATTACATCCTACATTTAACAGAGGCTTCAGTTCTCAGGAGCCTTTCTTAAAAGCCTCAAGATTGTCCCGGGTTCCCTAAGACATACGAGATGTGACCCTGTTTTCAAGGTTCTTACAGCCTTATTGGGGAGCAAGGTTATCCTGATTCAAGGAAGAATCTCATCAGGGGCCTCCCTGTGGTTCTGTCTCCTGAGGCTACCTGAGTTTTCAAGGGGGCGAGAGGACACTAACGTCTCCTGTCAGGGGAGGCTTCAGCTAAACATTGAAGTGTCCATGGCATTGCGCTTTAGCCTTGGCATCTGGGCAGGACAATTCCTCACCACAAGGAACAGATTTACACTCTGCAGGGCTTTTAGAACCACCCCTCCCCTTTTTCCCAGTCTCCTTTGGGAAGGACAGGGGGAAATGACCTACTGGCCGCAGAGACTGGGGATCAGGGAAAAGCTGGATGAAAGGAAAAGGGCTTAATGCTGCCCAGGGAGGGGTACACACGGTGTTTGTGTAATCAACACCAGACATAAGCCCCTGCCTTTGTGAGATCCACACACTCGTGGTGTGAAACAGGCCCACATGGCTTAGCCTGGGTACCTAGAGGGGCCTAGGCAGCCTCAAGGTGTTGTTACACTGAGACCCAGGGAAGAGTCTGTGTTGGGCCCACACTCACCTCCAAGCCTCAGGCCTAGAAAAGCTGAGGAGGGAATTCCCCGATGGTCCAGTGGTTAGGACACTGCACTTTCAGTGTCAAGGGTGCGGGCTCGAAAGCTGAGGAAACAGGAGAGAAGGGCCCCAGGGAAGGTCTCTGGGAGACCAGAAGGGGCAGGTCCAGTAGACACTTGTCAACAGCATTTGCCTGAGTCTCCCTAAACCTTTGTTGTGTCCTACCTGCCCATCCGGCATCCTCCGTGTCCATGAAGGCCTGGAAGGAAAACCCAGGTGCAGAGAGGACAGGCCCTGGCCCCCGCTCCCCCCGGGGTCAGAGCTCTCAGTCCCTGTCACTGCACCCCCAGCCCAGCCGCCTTGGCGGTCTCCTATGTGGGCAGCCTCTGCAAGAACCTTGCACGCAGCTTGAAGCCCAGCCCTGCTCCCTAAACCCTAAACCCTAAGCCCAGCCTAAACCCTCCCATTACCCCAGATCAGCCACAGACTTCATTCTAGACCACCCGAGGGGCCTCTGAAAACCTATCCTGTCATGCTCCCAGCCAGAGCCTCCCTAGGAGGCCCTAATGGAACTTCCCAACCACCCACGCCTCCTCTCCCCTCAGCCATGAACAATCCACCAAGTACCTCAACTTCTCTACCTCCGAGGAGGAGGAAAGCAGCAGGGCTCAGCACAGATACCAGGCACGTGACGGTGACTCAGGAGCGTGGGCTGGGGCAGGGACCCAGGAGCCAGAGATTTGGGAGGGATGTGGGGCTCGACATGATCTTTGCCCTCACTGTCCTCCGTGCAGGTGAACAACCTGGGACAGAGGGACCTGCCTGTCAGCATTGACTTCTCAGTGCCCGTGGAGCTGAACCGGCTGACCGTGTGGAAGGATATGGAGGTCCTCCACCCTCAGGTACTCAAAGACTGTATGGCTCCTCCACTAATGCCCTCTCCCTGGATTCCTTGGTCCTCATGAATCCCTGATGACCTCATCACATGCTTTCTCCCTGTGCCTTTTCCTAGAACCCATCCATTCAGTGCTCTTCAGAGAGAACAGTGCCCACAGAGTCCGACTTCCTGACCCACTTTCAGAAGAAGCCTGTCCTGGTGAGAGGGCTCTGGGCTGTCCCCCACTGGAAGCCACACTTCAGGGGAATTTAATCCAGGAATGCATGTTACATTAGATGGATGTCTGCTGAACAGCCTGCTTGAGCTCAGATGTGGCTGCTCCCCTCAAATCAGACAGTTGAATGCTGTCTTCTACCTTCAAACCCACCTTTCTCTGGCCTGATGCCACTTCTCTTCCCCAGGACTGCTCCACTGCTGCCTGCCTGAGGTTCCACTGTGACATCCGCTCCTTCGGCGTCCAGGAGGAACTTGACTTCATCCTGAAAGGCAATCTCAGCTTCGGCTGGGTCAGCCAGGTGTGTCCCCTCCCAGACTCAGGTGGGGCCTGATATGTCTGTGCCTACCTCAAACCAGGGCGTTTCTCTAACCCCGAGCCCTCCCCAGAGCTATTTCCCAGCCTTCCCCTTCTCTTTTGCAGACACTGCAGAAGAAGGTGTTGGTTGTGAGTGTAGCTGAGATCACGTTCAACAGATCCGTGTATTCCCAGCTTCCAGGACAGGAGGCATTTTTGAGAGCCCAGGTAGTAACCGTGTGGTAGGCAGTGACCAGGCTGGTCAGAGAGCTCCTGATGCTAAATCTGTGATGCTGAGTGGGGGACTTGCAAGCCTGGAGGGAGGAAGGATGGAGGTCCCTGGGCAGGACAATTGTCTCTTAGCCCATGAATCCTTCTGTATCTCACTTCTTGGAGCAGAGCCTGATGAAGAAGGGGAGGGAGTTAAAGGGGACCTGGGAGGAGTCTGGGATAGCAAGAGTCCTGAAACTTTCTGATGGGGTCATCTCCACTCCAGATGGAGCTGGTGCTGGAGAAGTATGAGGTCTATAACCCCACCCCCATTATTGTGGGCAGCTCTGTGGGAGGACTGCTGCTGCTGGCTCTCATCACAGCCATACTGTATAAGGTGAGTGTTTTCATCCCACTCCTGACACCACCAGCATTTGGTCCCACACTTTCTACAGTGTAAGAAAGACTCACCATGGGGTCAGGCACACATTCTTCCTAAGTCACTGCATGTAAGAGATCCCCTCCCACCTGTGACATAACCAGTCCCTGGTTGACCCCATGTCTTTCTATCTGATTCTCAAGCCTCCTCTAATCTGTCTCCATTTCTTTTTCACTCTTCTCCACCATGTTTCCCTTAAACACAAATTAGAACATGAGAGCACAGCCTTGGATTTGATGTTGACACCACCGCTGATTCTTTCCTTGACCATTGACATGTGCTTGGTCCATGCTCGGTCTCGGTTTCTCATTCTGAAGGTGGTTCTACCCAGCTCACAGAACTGTGGCAAAGTCTAAATCACACAATTTATATAAAGTTCCTAGTGCAGTGCTGGAACGTAGGGGGGTTCCAGAAGTGGTGCTTGCTCCCCTTCCCCATCGTCTCTTTTCCTCTCTTCCACTGGACTTCCTGATTTTCTTCTCCTTCCTCCCCAACAGGTTGGCTTCTTCAAACGTCAGTACAAGGAAATGATGGAGGGAGCAAATGGACAGCCTGCTCCAGAAAATGGGACAGGAGACCCCCAAGTTGCCCAGTAAGAAACTACCTCCTGCTCTCCTTTGGACCTGCTCTCCCCTGAGAGGTTCCCTGGCCTTCTTACTTTCACCCAAGTCAGGCCTGATGGGGAAGAACATTCCATCTGAGGGAGGCTGACATCAGGCTGCTTTCTCTCTTTGGGAGGATGCAGTGTGTTTGCACAAAGCCCCTAGGCTGGGAAGGGCCATTGGTCTTGTCAAGGCTCCAACTGGAAATCCCAGGACAGGATCCCTGACATGCCTCTCCTGAGGACTTGACTTGGAATTTCTACCTAGAAATAGATGGACAATAGCCTCAGGCTCCAGTCTCCCTTCATCCACTAACCATCGACGGTCTTCCTAAAATACAGTTCTGAACCAGGCTCTCATCCTCATCCATCTTCAGCAGCTTCCCCTTACTCGCAGTGTAATTTCTGAACTCTTCAGCTTGTGAACCAATACACAGATGTTTCTTAAAAACCCTGGGATGTATTGAATGGAACATTGTCTGCATATGGTTAGTGATTGGAGAGCACTTTGAAGTCCTCTATCAGAGATGTGCTGCCCCCAATAAGGTCATTCTTATTATTATGCCACCCATCTCAGCATAACGCTCAAAGTGGTGCCTGGTGCTGACCTGGGAGTCAACACACAGCAGGCCATTCCCTGCCCTGGAGAGATCCCACTGCTGCCATGACCAAGGTGCCTGGGCCACGTGGACGTTTTAGTTAGAAAAGCAGAAGGGGAGGCAGTTAACCATGTGACTTGAGGTGACATGGTCAACTGTATCCCCTTCTGTCCCAAAACTATCTCCCCCATCCATCACAGGGTCCAAAACCCTTTAGGATTTGGAAGCTTTGGGAACTCAGAAGGACCAATTATGATGAAATTGCCTCAAGCTGGGCTCCATTTAGACTTTATGAGGATTGGGCTTTAGAGTATTATTTCTCAAAAGGTGCTCCACGAACCTCTGGCGGTCTCCAATGGTCTCCTAAGTGCTGTTTTAGAGGGGAAAAAAAGCAAGAAACAGTTTTAAACCCACACATCTCACACATCTGAGCCTGATGACGTTCACAGAAATCCTGTTATACCCTTAATAATTGTGTTCCTAAAGCTTGTCCCTGGACTCCAAGGACTGCAGGGGGCTCTTGTCTAACATGCAGGCAATGGGTGCTATTTTTACATAATTTTCCTTCATGATTTATTGCTTCCCTGCATTATATTTGCATTTTTTCAGGATTGCTATCTAATTGTATTATATCTCCAAATCAAAAAAAAGGATCAATGGCTCAAAAATTATTCATTGAAGCATAAAAGTTGTGATTAAATCAATAAAACATAATTGCTGCAACTTAGAGTAATGTCATCAAAATCAGTACTGAACGAGTTTCTAGTGCACACTGAGTATAAGGATGCATGAATGCTGGGATGAGTGATTATGAGCTAAAAAATTAAAATCTATCTAGAAAATATACCATCTGAAAATTGGATTTTATTGGGTCAGGTATCTGTTTGTTCCTAGGCTGTTGTCCATTATGAAACTTTGTCAAATCGTACCATGAAACTATCAAAGCTTTTGTGTCATTATCAAACAAAGTATAATGACCTCTCACATAAAGCAACAGAGGTTTCTTAGAATGACTGCAACATATCACTTTCCCATCTAAAATCAATTAATTTTATCATTGAAGACAGAGAAGACAGAAAAACTCCAGTGGCATAAATCAAAGTTGCTTTGATAGCAAAAGCATATGCAAGTCACATAATTTCCAAGAAGCTTACAGAACCAGCAGTGAGGTTAATGTCTCCACAGAAGATTGCTTTTGGCTACAAGTAACAGGAACCCACAGAGTACATAAAGGCATATAAAAGGCCTTCACACAAGAGGTCCAGTAGACCCCTGGCCACTGAGTCTCAAGATCAATTTGCCTTCACGTGGGAGGGGCAACAGTGAACCTTTCTAGTGCTCCCCAAGGCTACCTGCACAGCCCCGCCGTATGTCACGGGATGGTAGCCCAAGACCTGTTCCTGTTCTCCTTCCCCACGTTAGTAAAACGGGCCCATTACACTGATGATAGAATATTAACATAGGGAGACTTGCAGACTTTGCTGGAACACGTGTGAGGGAGAGGATGGGTGGTGATCCCACAGAGAATTCAAGGCCCAGGCACTGCCGTAAAGTTTTGGGAACTCCTTTGTCGGGGGAAGGGGCACACTGTCCCAGAAGCTGTGATGGAAGAGGTGCAAGCCTATCCAACCCCTAAGAATGGGAAGGAAGCACAAGTGTCTGTAGGATTTGGGGTTTGGAGGACTTGTATTCCTCACCCTGCACAGTGCCTCCGTCCCTTATACTGCCTGATAAAGGAAGGGCACGTGTGGTACTGGGGATCAGAGCAACAAGCCGCCTTTCAGAAGGCAAGACACTAGTGAAGCAGATTAAAGCTTTAGGCATCCCCCAAGCAGGACTACCATTGGAGTTAGATGCGTCTGTGACTCTGGGAGGTATGAGTTTGGCACAGCCTCAGAGACAACAGGAGGGAGTACCCCTAGGATTTTGGTCCCAGTTCTAGAAGGGTGTAGAAACCCAATAAACCTGCATATAGCACGAGCTCCTAGCAGTACACACAGCACTCGTCCAAGTGGAGTCTCTCATGAAGGAACAGCAATCATGGTAAGAATCTCCCTTCCTATTGAGGGGTAGGTTGACAACATGTGTCACTGACCCACCTCTGCCTGGCGCTAACTCTCACGTTGACAAAAGGGCTCGCCCGTCCACAGCAGAGGGACACCCTGTCCTCCAAATTCTCCTGCCCCTAATCCTGCCCCTGTGGCCTGTAAGGAGGGAGTGGGGGAGATGCCTGCTGATGCCTGGTATACAGATGGGTCTGGCTAGGGTGCTGCAGTGGGCTGAACTCAGAGAGGTTTGCCTGGTGATCAGTCATGAGCTCCGGCCGTTAACACTTTGCACTTACATTTGGGCTGTTCTAAAGAGATTAACCTTATAGCTTAGAAAATGGGAAGCTGAGGAGCGGATGATCATAAATAAGCACTTGTGGGGTCAGGATATGTGGAAAGACATTTAGGTTTGCCTGCAAGAGCCTGAGTCAGTCCTCACTGTCCTCCATGTCCCGGCTCAGAGGGCGCCAAGACCCTTGGCAATGAGGAAGCTGATGCTGTAGCTCGGATATGAGCCCTAACAACGAACCCTTCAGTTATAGTGCCCGAGTGGGACGGTACATTGCCAAGGATGCTGGATTGCCCTTGCTACTCTTTTGCCTGTAGAGATCCAGTTTTCCCAACTTTATGCCTCTTTTTAATCTCAGGCAACCACAGGTTTTCTTTTTGCCCTTATATGTTAGTTTTGCATTTTTAAAAGATTTTCTGTAAATGGAATCATACAGGATTTGCTACTTTTTGTTAGGCTTCTTTCTCTCAGGATAATGATTTTGAGGTTCATCCATATTGTTGTGGGTACCAATATTTCATTCCTTTTTATTGTAGAGTAGCATTCCATTGTAATTCCATGCGATTTTTAAATGGCTAATGAGACAAAGAATTTTTATCAGACTCTGATGATGACCATAAGCCCAGTTTTAAAATTTCAAGTGGTTTGTTCAAGTTTCACATTTCAGCAATATATTATTTAGTATCTTAAATAGCTTATACCTGTCTAAGGCCAAAATATCACAATTTTCAAGGTGAAGGAAAAGCCACTGGGATTTCTTAAGACCAAATTGTGTTACGAACTTTTGTGTTTGCCCCGACTTCAAGATGTTCTTTATTCATCAGAGAAAAACAAATAACAAATAATACCGTGGTAGGCATGATTCAAAACCACATCTTAACGCTATAGCAGAGCACAGAGTCTGAGGAAATGCGATCAAAGACAGAGCTAGGAATCCAGTGCTACTCTTCCTAAATCCCAGCACTCAAGCTCCCCTCTTTGGAATGTTCATCAACTTAGCACCTGATGAAACTCTAAAAGTCATCTGAGAGAGACTTCCCTGGTGGTCCAGTGGGTAAGACTCCACACTCCCAATGCAGGGGGCCCAGGTTCAATCCCTGGTTAGGGAGCTAGATCCATGTGCCGCAACTACGACCCGGCACAGCCAAAGTAAATAAATAAAAAATAAAATAAAAATAAAAGTCATCTGAGAGACTTTTTCATGACTTTAGGTGTTCATGTTTTATCTGGAAGTCTAGAATTATCATGCACAGCTGTCAACACATGCAGCCATTCTATTGACCTATAGTTTCGAATTAGGATTTTCTTGTTCAATCAAAATAAATAGCAGGAGAAGAAAAAAACCCACCGGATGTGGAAATTAAGCTGTGGGGACCTGTGTTCATGCCTCTGTTACTGAGGCAAGCACAGATCATTCTGGTGAAAGGTTGCAAAAATATCCTCCCTCACACTGATTTGAAGAGAATATTAAATGTGTTGTTTAATTATTTTTTTCAGCCCTGGGGGTTCTTTATTGAAACAACTCACAGCACAGTATCTGAGACAGAGAGCATTGGCTGGCCGAATCCCAGGAGGCTGAGAAATTAAGGTTCCAGTACCCATCTCTGCCCTCCTGGGGAGGATTCCTCCATGAAGGCAACCAGGCCTGAATAGCCCCGGGCTGGAGGGTGGGTGGTCCATACATACAGTCAATAAGAGCACTAGGGATCAGTGGCCCTGCAGCACTGCCCTAGGCTGGGCCCCCAAAGTCCGACAGTTGTGGCATCCATGGGGGGGAGCAGGCGCACCCTTGTTTAATTATTTTTTGAGTATAGCTTTGACGGTTCTGAGCACCCCAGTTTGAATGGTGTGCGTGCATGTGTGCATGTGTGTGTGTGTGTGTGTGTGTGTGTGTGTGTGTGTGTGTGTGTGTGTGTGTGTGTGTGGTTTTCCATATCACCAAGCAATTCTCGGAACCAGCTGGGTGTCCTGCAGTTTAACTCAATTCTGACACTACCCAGAGAGAGCATCAGATTCCACAGGTGAAGGGCTCAGTCCTACAAGTCTGCTCCTCGCCATC